CGCGCGCGCGGGGCATGCCAACGTCGGCCGGCCACGCGGCTTTGCAGCCGGCGCTGGAGGAGACGGTGCGGCTCTCATGCGCCCGGGGAATCCGCGTGCTCACTGCCTTCGCCTTCTCCCACCAGAACTGGGACCGTCCCAAGGCATATATATACTGCTACTCCTAGTCTCTTCTGAGTAAGCATAACACTGTTAATTAACTCTTGGAATTCGCAGGAAGAGGTTGACTTCTGCATGGCCGTGTACAACCGGTTCATCCAGGACAATGTCGCCCAGTTTTTAAGGTAGTAGTACGTTTTTTCTCTTTCAAAAAACAGGGTTTACTCCGGCCTCTAACATCATGTACGAATATATCAATTATCATGTACTCCCTTCATAAACTAATATAAAAGCGTTAACAAGCCAAACAAAAAGAGTATTAGTACGTACCAAAGCTCGGTGCAACCGGGCACTAAAAAAGATACTAGTACGTATTATGAGTTTATCAAATATCCTATTAATGGATCACCATCAAGCCTGGTCGAAGAAACCCCGTGCAACCATCTCCTCAATCTTCAGTGCTGGTTGTAAGATAGTATAGTACATAACGGCTCATGCAGCTACCGCCACCCCTTATGGATTCATCGGTCAATTCAATATTTTTTTATCTCACAGACTGTGTAGGTTAAAACATTTGGACTCATTAAGAACTTATAGTCTACTACAATCAAAGTTTTTTTTCTCAATTTCGTTATTTTCCAGGTGTGGAGCCGAAAAAGACCGGTTTCCAAACATTCTCGAAATTCCAGAATTTTGTAGCCCAAAATTTTCAAACGAATTTTGAATTAAAAAAACTGGCATCATAATATAAAACTTTTAACCAATTGAACACACAAAGCACTTCCTGTCCGAGTGGTCATTATGCTTCAGCCTCTTTCGAAGGTCACAGGTCCGAGTCTAGGCTGCTGCATTCAGAACCGAGGTTACACGACATACCACTGGGCCAAGGGAGCTCTCTCGTGAACATATGAGCACATGAGCTCTATTTGACTTTTCTAGATGCTTAGATTAAATAGTTAAATTTCTCAGACGATATAAGAAAATCAGGCTTCACTATCGGACGGTTATCTGAAATTCCAACTGAAAAAAACCCCACAACAAATTTCTTAGACGATATAATTATACCAATTCAGAATTTGTAATAGAAATGTTGTGTTGTTTACAAACTCCTACACATATAAGAAAATTAAACTTCCTTCCACATAAGTATTCACAACATATCACACATTTTATATTTGTTTCTTTTTTGCGAATAATGTTATATTTGTATATTTTTTTGCAGGAATTTTTATATTTGTTTCAATATTAGTATGTAGAAATAAAAAATTACCAGCATTAGCAGCGTCACATTAATACCGCGAAATATACCAGCTGTATAACCATTTTCCAACAACAGAGAAAGTATTACATGCAAGATCTTGTTTTTTTTAACATGGTACAGACGTAAAGTGTTCATATATAAATGCATATACTCACTCTTATGAAAGCACACACGCACACCCTATTCCTATGAGCACGCTGTCACTTGTCAATGTTGTAAAGTATTCCCCACAAGAATATATATTATAAAGGATGTGTATTTGGAAGGGAGAAGTATCATCTCATGCAAACATGGAAACCCTGTGACTCCAGGTCCGTTAGATCAAGAGAAATAATGAGCTATAGAGGTCGATTTAGTCCCAAGCAACTAGCATCCTTCAATTCCAAATGGAGATTTTTGAAAAAGAAATATTTGTAGGCATACAAAAATGTAAAGGAGACAGGATCTGGTGACTGCTGGGTGCGTTGCCCCCTATTCCGAACCGATGGATGGAAATCGTGGGTTGGAGGAGTAAGTAGGCTCCTTGGGAAAGCAGTGGGATTAAGATAACTGGATAAGTACCTATTGTGAGCGTACGCGCTGCGTCAGCTTCATGTACAAAGAAAGGATTGGTGTTCGCCTTGGGTGTTCGCCTTGCTCACTCCATGCAAAGATGCATCATATACTACTCCCTCCATCTAGGTGTATAAATCACCTTACGAAAACCAAATAATCCCAAAACATTTAGGCACGGTGCATTAACTTGCACATAGTTTATTATTTCTTGACATAAATCAATGAATCAACCAATAAAAGATGTGGGGTGTGTATGCTTTCAATTACTTGAGACTACCAAACATGACGTGCAGTGGTCAGTTCATTGCATGCAATACTATTGATTAGCATATAAACATTAAGTTCCCTCCTTTTTTTCCTTTGCCTTGATCGCGGTGCATAATCTAAGATAACTTACACACCTAGACGGAGGGAGTAGCAGTCTACAACACCATGCGAGCTAGCTATGATTGCATGGATGCAGCATGCGCTCCTCCATGATAGTAGAAGAAACAAAATTTGGAATTCTTGTTAAAATTAGTGCTAGCTATTACAATTATCGTTGAAAATTGATAGCAGAAGAAAAAAGAAAGGAGGAGGACACTGTATGGAAATTTCCCTTGAAAAACTAAAATTCACATTGAAAATGAATACACTATTTAATGTTCCACGTGCTAGGATGCTAGCTGTCATGCTCTACCATTGTACTCCCTCCGTCCGGGTTTATTGGGCCTGTTAGCCACGGCACGAGGACCAAGGAAGAATATTACTGGTAACCATCCGTGACTTACGAAAGTAGCAGCAGCCAATTAGATTAATCTGCAGTTATTCCAAAGCCTCACAGCAGCTAATTGCCCAGCTTTACTTTCGCATGCAACCAACCACAGCGCGAGGCAGTTATTGCTCACAGCTGGTACTTTGCTATTTTCCCGCATGCAGCGATGAAGCCGAAACGGCAGTCCAATCGTGTGCGTGCTCGGCGGAGCTGATCGAGGAAAGTAAACACACATATTTAGCGAGGCCTTACAAAAACAGATCAGAGCAAACTTGCTAAGAGGCCCAATAAACCCGGACGGAGGGAGTACTCACTAGAGAATACCCCGCGCGTTGCTATGGGAATCAACTGCGATATTTTCGGCGATTTGATTGTATGAAACATGCATAACTAAATTAACAATATATGAACTAAAACTAAATATTAGATATTAGTATATTTTATTATTGTGTAATTACAACATATTTGAAATAAATGACATGATATGATGAAAAAATAACATCATGTTGAGTAGACTTTTGATGAGGTGGCATGTGTGAGATGAGATATGTGCATGGATCAACTAATGATGAAAAAAAATTCATGCAAGTTGTGATTGGCCTTTAATGAGGTGGCATGTGTGCATGTTTAATGAAGATGAACTATTTATGTATATAGCATTCAGCAGGACGTTGACGTCGCTAATAACATTTTAGGTGATAGCCGTTGGATGGTGGAGCTGTGGAATGGACGGTGGATGGAGTTGTGGCGTAGTACCACCATGGGTACATCGATGGGATGCATTGATGAACCCAACCTGAAACTCATCTGCATGCTTAGTACTCACAATTGAACCGATATTTCATGGATCGGCCTTTTTCATGCAAAAGTTTCACTAACGAGTAGGTTCTACAGAAGTGCATGCTCTAGCTAGTGCAACCAAAATATATATCTGGTGTAAGAGAGTAGGCAATACATTTATACGTCAACACTCTCCCTCATGTGTGGCTCTCTCAGGCCTAAATGTGACCGAAAGTGGGCTGCAATTTAATTGTGTTAGCCGGGTCCTGAACTTAAGATCTCTTGGCTTTGATACCATGTAGAAGTGCATACTTTAGCCAATGCAACCAAAAGACCGATCTGATGGAAGAGACTAGGCAATACATTTATATCTTAACATGTTCCATTCATTAGAAATTCCATCTGATTTGCCAACGAGTTTATGTTTTGCATTAAACATAAAATAGTAATCAAATTTTCATAGAATTCAAAACTTTATAGATAAAGTATGCATTAGTTTAAAGTTTGTTTTCGCCATCGCATATTGATCTTATATTGGAGTGGAGGGTACTCGGATCAGTTACTTCAGCCAGAGTTTTGGACTGGAGATACTTGGTTCTAAGTAGTTTGTGCCACACCCCGTTCTCAGTATCTTATGCAACCATTTGCTAAGCAATATTCTCGGGTTCCTCCACCCTGAGGCTCCTTGATCTTTTGATCTGCAATTAACATCCCACCTAGTCAAATGACATTTCAGTCTATTTTCATCAGATTGCTACAAAATTCTAGATCGGTAAAAGCTAGACTTTTCCTTACCCCTTTGGTTATCTTGAAAAGACAACATGAACATAAGTTGGCTTGTTGGGACCGCATTCATAAGAGATAGACGTGCACCAGAAGATATGAGCTTATCCCTCCAACTTCTTTCAGAAGCGGTCTTCAATATGATTTGGAACACGAAGATACTAAACAAAGAGAGATTCATGTTCCGATCCTCCTTTGCTTTTTCTTTCCCAAAGTAGGAAGTTTTCTCTTCTTAAAGTTAATCTTAAGGCCCGACAATTTCTCAAACAGATACAAAATTAACTTCATGCGTCTAGCCTTCTCAATGCCATGCTCCATGAATATGATGGTGTGATCGGCATGCTGCAAAAGTGGGACCCACTATCAATAGGTGTGAAATAAGACCACTCACTTGGCTAGCTTCTTTAGCTTGCCCAATGAGCACCACCAGCATATCTGCAACAATGTTGTATAGGATGGGTGAAGGGATTGGAAATTTCAACAATGTTGAATAGGTGTTGGAAATTTCATAGATCGACCTTATTTTCTGCAAAAGTTCCACTTACATGAGTGATTTCCATTCACTGGAAAATCCATGTGATTTGCTAACAAATTTATATCTTACATGAAACTGAAAATATAAATCAAAATTTCAAAGAATTCAAAATTTTGAAGATAAACTATGCATCAGTTTAAATTTTGTTTTGACCATGTATGGTACACGGAGTGACAAAGTATTAAAGGAATTCTATAATCCTTGGCTCGTATGTTAACGGAGAAGAGATTCTTATGTTTTGCAGGGAAGGGATTCGTCTACGGGTAATCGGTGACTGCTCAAGGCTGCCGACTTATCTGCAGAAAACTGCACAAAACGCCGAGGAGGAAACAAGTAGCAACTCACAGCTCGACCTGATGCTAGCTATCGGCTACAGTGGACGAACGGACATCTTGCAAGCATGCGGGAAGCTTGCCCGGAAGGTGCACAGCAAGCTACTCAGGCCGGAGGACATCGACGAGTCACTATTCGCCGATGAGCTCCAGACGAGCTGGACAGACGAGTTCCCTTGCCCCGACCTACTCATCAGGACCAGCGGCGAACTGAGGCTCAGCAACTTCTTGCTGTGGCAGTCGGCGTACTCGGAGCTCTTTTTCACTGACACGCTCTGGCCTGACTTCGGGGAGGCTGAATATCTCCAAGCACTCATGTCTTTCCAGAGCAGAGACAGGCGTTTTGGAAAAAGAAAACTCTAGCCCTGGAAATAAAAGAGCAAAATAACGGTGCGAGTTACCCGGCATGGAATGGTGTAGATTCTGTCTCCACCTTGTATCTTCTGTGTTTATGTTTGGCTTTTATTACCTTCAAAGTATTTCCATCACGAGGAATGGTGTAGTCTGCTGTACTTGCTGGAGCAGGCTTCTAAATCTTCACCTAGACTATCTTAAGTGTATCTATTTGTGTGTTGAATGTGTTTGGTAAATAAATTTGTTGTTTATGAATAACATATTTATGTCATTACAAACAATATGGTTATACAGCCCTCCACATATGATATGTTAAATAAATATCTCATTAGTCAGCACCACATCGTCTTCTTCTTCCTCGAGCCCAACAAGCATGATCAATCGATGGAATGGCCGCTGTCTTCGTACATGGTGAAAGTGTACTGCTCCAGAAGCGGCAGTGGGATGACATGACATTTGTCTGAGAAGGAGATGCAACACCGGTGGCCATGTGGGCAGATCGAATCAATGAACGAAAGTGTCACGCCATGTACCGGCGAGGGGCATTCTATCTTCATTGCCCCACAGGTTTCATCATAAGGTACACTTCCTCTGCAATTTGTTAATGAACCAACCAATTAATCTATACCATACAGTTTTACATGTATAGTAAGGAAGAATTGAAAACCGGAATCCTCTCTCATCATATCATCATAGGGGAGAGAAGGACCTAAACACCGTCAGATTATAACTCACACACAATGAGTTATATACCGTGTTAGATATTCTTCAGGCGCCTGGAAATTTGCAGGCTGTAATAGATTCTGTGCAGGCACCGAGTCGGGGATGTAGATCACCTGGCTAGCCATGGCATACTAGCGAAGGTTTTTCTGCTTATTTCATTTTCTTTCTTTTTTTCATTTTCATTTATCTTTTTTTTATGTTCACCTTTTATTTTATTTATATTTTTATTATTCCTTTTACTTTTATTTCCCTTCATACTTATTTCTTTGTTATTCTTTCATTTTGTCATTTTATTGTTTTTTTTCTTTTTCGTCTTTTACTTTTCCAAATTTGACGAACATTTTACAACTCGGTGAATATTTTTCTAATTCCAAAAAAATTCATCATATTATTATAATTGTTCTCTTTGCAAATATATGAACCTTTTTTTAAATTCATGATTTTTTAAATTGCATATAATTTTTTCGAACTCATGAACAACTTTTTTCCATAGGTGAACAATTATGAAAAAAATTCAGGAACAATTTTCTAAATTTAGAAAACTTTTTTGTTCTAGACGAAAATATTTTGAATTCATGAATATTTTTTTTAATTGGTGATTATTTTTTGAATTTTGTGATATTTTTATAAAGTCTGAATAATTTGAAATTCGTGAATATTGGTTTGAATATTTATTAGAAATTCATGAACATTTTTTGAATAGACCAACATTTTTTGGAAATCATGAATATTTTTTGAAGCAATGAACGCTTTTTAAAAATTCATGAACATTGTTTGAATTCATGGAACTTTTGTTCAAATTCACGAAAAAAAAATTCAAGAAGCAAAAAAAGTTCAAAAACATGAACATTTTTTCATCCAGGCCCTAACCTTCTCCCAACCTATGTCCCTCGGGTCTTAGAAGTTCCATTCTTGGAGTGTCCCACGTTGGTAGGCATTTCATTGTCACGTTAAGAGAATTCTTGATACTTTCTCCGATTGACTGCGAGCACCCTTCTCCTGGAAAAGATAGATGACTTATCATGGTTCATCCTCTAGCCCGATGCCATACAATAGTTATTAAGCAGGTTTGAAACTGCAATCGCACCCTCAACACTTAACTTGAAAAAGAAACACGCTGTCATCTGTGATAAAAGAAGGATAACAATTGGGCCTATTTGGGGACACCTTGACTCCGTTGAGGGGATGACTAGATTGGTAAGGACCCTCCGCTGCAATCAACAATTGGTAAGGGGATTTTGAATCTCCCTGACGAATACCTCTGGTGGGTTTGAATTACTCAAGTTTCTCTCCATCGGCAAGCACATAAAAAGTATATAGATTTGACCATCCCCATCTTTGTTTCTCTCTAGATAGGAACAAAACCAAGCTTTTTCCATTATAGCCTGAAGATAAGGCCATTCCAACATATCATAACTTTTCATCATATCAAGCTTGAGTGCACAATAGATGTTTGTTTTGGCCTTGCTGCCTTTGCTGGAAGGCCATTTGCTGGAACTAGATAGAGCGGGGACTGCGAGCCATGTGCGCCGTCGCCATCGATGCTGCAACGGGGGTGACGGGGTGGGGGGAGGCACCGGTGAGGTGCGGTGCTGGAACTAACTAGTAGCTATACACATTGTTGGGACTGGCGAGGCACGATGTTGCGACCAACGACACACATTGCTGGAACCGCCAAGGCGCGGTGTAACGGCAACGGTGTGCTATGCTGGCTTCAACATGGGGGAGATGAAAGAGCTGCTGTGCTATGCCGGCTTCAACATGGGGGAGATGAAAGAGCTGCTGCCTGATGACCCACAAGTATAGGGGATCTATCATAGTCCTTTCGATAAGTAAGAGTGTCGAACCCAACAAGGAGCAGAAGGAAATGATAAGCGGTTTCCAGCAAGATATTCTCTGCAAGTACTGAAATAAGTGGTAATAGATAGTTTTGTGATAGGATAATTTGTAACGAGCAATAAGTAACAAAAGTAAATAAAGTGCAGCAAGATGGCCCAATCCTTCTTGTAGCAAAGGACAAGCCTGGACAAACTCTTATATAGAGAAAAGCGCTCCCGAGGATACATGGGAATATCGTCAAGCTAGTTTTCATCACGTTCATATGATTCGCGTTCGGTACTTTGATAATTTGGTATGTGGGTGGACCGGTGTCTGGGCGCTGTCCTTACTTGGACAAGCATCCCACTTATGATTAACCTTTATTGCAAGCATCCGCAACTACAACAAAAGTATTAAGGTAAACCTAACCATAGCATGAAATATATGGATCCAAATCAGCCCCTTACGAAGCAACGCATAAACTAGAGTTTAAGCTTCTGTCACTCTAGCAACCCATCATCTACTTATTACTTCCCAATGCCTTCCTCTAGTCCCAAATAATGGTGAAGTGTTATGTAGTCGACGTTCACATAACACCACTAGAGGAGAGACAACATACATCTCATCAAAATATCGAACGAATACCAAATTCACATGACTACTAATAGCAAGACTTCTCCCATGTCCTCAGGAACAAACGTAACTACTCACAAAGCATATTCATGTTCATAATCAGAGGGGTATTAATGTGCATATAGGATCTGAACATATGATCTTTCACCAAATAAACCAACTAGCATCAACTACAAGGAGTAATTAACACTACTAGCAACCCACACGTACCAATCCCGGACTTGGAGACAAGAATTGAATACAAGAGATGAATTAGGGTTTTGAGAGGAGATGGTGCTGGTGAAGATGTTGATGGAGATTTCCCTCTCCCGATGAGAGGAGCGTTGGTGATGACGATGGCGATGATTTCCCCCTCCCGGGGGGAAGTTTCCCCGGCAAAACGGCTCCGCCAGAGCCCTAGATTGGTTCCGCCTGGTGGCGGCGGAGTTTCGTCCGAGAAGATGGCTTATGATTTTTTCCTCATCGAAAGACTTCATATAGCAGAAGATGGCCATCGGAGGGCCACGAGGGGGCCCACGAGGTAGGGGGCGTGCCCAGGGGGTAGGGCGCGCCCCCACCCTCGTGGGCAGGGTGTGGCCCCCCTGGTGAACTTCTTGCGCTCAATATTTTTTATATATTCTAAAAACGTCTTTCGTGAAGTTTTAGGACTTTTGGAGCTGTGCAGAATAGGTCTCTAATATTTGCTCCTTTTCCAGCTCAGAATCCCAGCTGCCGGCAAGGTATAAGAGAATAGGCATTCTCCCTCTTTATGTAAACCTTGTAAAATAAGAGAGAATAGGCATAAGTATTGTGACATAATGTGTAATAACAGCCCATAATGCAATAAATATCGATATAAAAGCATGATGCAAAATGGACGTATCAACTCTCCCAAGCTTTGACCTCGCTTGTCCTCAAGCGAAAGCCGAAATCGAAAAATATGTCCACATGTTTAGAGATAGAGGTGTCGATAAAAGTAAAATACGGACATGAGGGGATCATGATCATTCTTAGAACAACAACTTATATAATTCTTGTCATATGATCTCTTATGCTAGGGTAATAATTCAATCACAATTTCAAGTTTGAATCATAAACTTCATTGAAAACTAACAGACTATAATCTCGGTCATTGGAGCAATTGCAATTTATCATAACATAGGAAAGAATCAATATAAGAGATTTTCAGCAAGTCCACATACTCAACTATCATATAGTCCTTCACAATTGCTGACACTCACGCAATACTTATGGGTATGGAGTTTTAATCGGACACAGAGAAAGATAAGGGCTTATAGTTTTGCCTCCCAACGTTTTACCTCAAGGGTAATGTCAACAATAATAGTTCATGAAAACTCACATCTAATTAGCCATATATATCAGGATCTTTCCAACATACTGTGCTTGCCAAAGGATAAAATGTAAAAAGGAAGGGTGAAGATCACCATGACTCTTATGCAAGGTAGAAGATAAAAGTAAAAGATAAGCCCTTCATAGAGGGAAGCAGAGGTTGTTATGCGCTTTTATGGTTGGATGCACAAAATCTTAATGCGAAAGAACGTCACTTTATATTGCCACTTGTGATATGGACCTTTATTATGCAGTCTGTCGCTTTTATTTCTTCCATATCACATGATCGTATAAAGTTTATTTTCTCCCACACTAATAAGTCATACATATTTAGAGATTAATTTTTATTGCTTTGCACCGATGACAACTTACTTAGAGGATCTTACTCAATCCATAGGTAGGTATGGTGGACTCTCATGGCAAAACTGGTTTAAGGGTATTTGGAAGCACAAGTAGTATCTCTACTTGGTGCGATGAATTTGTCTAGCATGAGGGGGAAAGGCAAG